ACCATCTTTCTGATGATGACATCCTTGATGACTATTAAATCTAAACTGCTGTACATCCGATATATTGGAACATGCTTTGTGCTTCGGTTGATGAGGCTGAATAGTCGTTTCTACTTCTTTCTGATGCTGTATTGAAGCACGTCCTACGTCCTCCTTTTATACACCTTGATCAATTTTGGTTCAACAATGGAACTGGCTTAGGCAAAGTTGACCGTTCAGGTTGATCACCGTTACCGTTTTCAGCCGTTTAAGGTTCTCCCAAGTTCTAAAAAACATCCATGACACCATCGTATTTTCTGCTTCCTGGAATTGATAAGAACGCAATCAAATCATAAAACTGCCTCACATGTAAGCTTACAAAACATTACATGCTGTTCAACATACGAATGAAACCGACCATGATGACACGAGACTGATACCGCTGCCGGCCGGTTGAATTCAGGTTCATCAATGGCATAATGCACTGCGAGTACTGGTTCCAGGTTCCAGCGGGTAGGCGAAGATCTAAACTATTCCATCAATCACATCATCTTCAGCTCGAATGAATGTCGATATCAACCAGGGTATCAGGTGATCCAAGAGACGTTTCTCAGTGGAACTGACAGCTAGATATCTAGAGTGTGAGAGTGATCTGGTGTTAATGGTGCTGAATGTAAACATAAACAAAGCAGAAATTCATATGAGAATAAACTGCCAGTTCTACTGTGATCTGTCAAAAGTTCTTGATAAACAAAAAAGTCAGCTGATCGCAACTGTCTCGTGGAAAGCCTAATTTTTCCGTTGAAAATGAGTAATTGTTACCCATTAATGGGTAATCGTTACTCATTTAAATGGTTAACCTACCTTACTTCAAAATGGGTGAAATTTTACCTATTAATGGGAAGTTTCCAGTTACAGTGTAGTCATTATTGGAATTTTGCAGTAGCCGTGCATACTTCTGTGTAAGAGTGACTCATTCTTTGAGTTACTTTCGTTTTCAGTGTGTTAATCGGACGATATGAGTTTTTAGAATGTTTGTTTCATTTGAGTAAAAACTATTATCTCTGGAAGTCTCATCAGCCGTTTTCAGTGTGATTTATCGGACGATACACGTTTTTAGGAAATGTCTGTTTCATTTGAGTAAAAATTACCCTCTATGTTAAGTTTCATCAGCCGTGTTCTCAATCTAACGCGTGGTGTATGTCCTTGCTACAAGAAATATATTCACAGTCTATGAGAGTTCCACAACATTGAGTTGAATGGACAGAAAATCGCAAAAAGTACACGGATGATGAGAGCACTCCAAATTAAGATGAATTAATTTGAAAAAGCGGATTGCTAACGCACGGTAACCGCAAAATACCCAATAATGGCTACAAAGTAAGCATTTTCGAGGGAAACTGGGACTACCCATTAAATGAGTAAAATTTTACCCATTTATGAGTTATAACAACTACAAAAACAAGTAGCAAGTATTCATTTTTGAATAACAAATACTCATAAATGGGTAATATTTTTACTCATCTAATGGGTAGTCCCAGTCTCCTTCAAAAATGCTTACTTTGTAGTCATTATTGGGTATTTTGCGGTTACCGTGCAAAGCCTATTAGTACACTGAAATCAAAACTAACTCAGAGAGTGAGTAACTTTTACTCATTCGTATGGAAAAATTTCTAATAGCGTAAGTCACTTAGCGCTGTTGTTTTATCATTTTTGGTTGAAAATAATGCAAAAATGGGGAAAATTTATTCGATGCACAATATTCAATGTCAAGAGCAAATTTTCATTATGTCGTAAGTAACATTCGCACCAATCCAAGAAAAATAAAGTTTTGTTTTGATGACCGAAAAGTTATTCCTGTTTCCAATTAATCACATATAATCTCATAGTGATAGCAATGTTTAACATATTTAGCAGAGTTTTAATCATACAAATGCAAATCGCTAGCTTTCATGCTAAAAAATACTGGTTTTTGAGTCAAAAGTTATTATACGTCGTTTGGTGGCCCCTATTGTTACTTAAGTCAAAGTGTATTTACCAGGATATTCGGGAGAATTATCAATTACGTCTCCTTACGTGCAGCCCATTCATCATTTTAGGACCACCGAAATCATCTTAGCGAAAGCGAAACGACGAACGTACACTTTTCACGGGTTTCTCAGCGCTGTTACTTAAGGCAAACGGCATCTCCATAGAAATCGGGTGACTTAAGTAACATCGAAAACTATTTTGATCGTAAGGTGCAATTTGACTTGTAAATAAATTTAAAAATGGGATCTGATCCTATATTCGGACAGTATATAGTGTAATAGCAGGAGCATCGATTGACACTGATAGCTTGACTTTGTTTACCTTTGTTACTTTCAACGTAATGAAAATTTGCTCTTTATATAATGATTAAATGTTTACTCAAATATGAGTAAATGTCTCTTATATACAAGTAAATATTTACTCATCAATAAAGGAGCTACATGGAGATGAAAAACTACCCAAAATTAAGTCCTCTTCCCTCAGCCCAATAATATCACAGACAGACATACCAATTAGTACATAAAAAATTACAATTTGTGGTACTAGCTTAAAGCAGTACAACCAACCGGTAGAAACTAACGATTTCAAATTGGCTCATTTCTTGACTAGCCTATTGGTCCCAAGCAAATCGATTAATGCACCCCATTCTAGTCAAAATTCTAGTACTACACTATGTTTGTTTTGATTCGCCATGAAAGTTTGACAGATGAAATGAGGGGTTATTGGTTTTTCCTATGTTTCGAGGGGTGAATCGATTAGCTTGGGACCGAAGAGAGTACCAGAGCTAAGACAAAAAGTTGAGCACGTTTCTTAGGGGCCTTCTGGTCTTAGAGTTACCTCTATGGTACAACGGTAGTACAACAGTTAAATTTGTTTGTCTGTACAAGGTATAACCAACAATCAATACGAAACTAACGATTTTAAATTTGGCTCACAACTTTAGTAGCCTATTGGTCCCAAGCAAACGATTAACGTACCCTATTCTAGTTGAAATTCTATTACTACACTATGTTTGTTTTGATTCGCTATGAAAGTTTGACAGATAACATCAGGGGTGTGTGGATTCATGCAGAACATGCAGGGGTGAGTGAAATAGCTTGGGACTGCTTGGGACCGTTGTTCTGGTACTGAGTGAGCCAAAAATAATAATGATTTTCTTCGGGACCCAGTGGTCTTAGAGTTACCTCTATGGTATAACCCGTATATGAGTAAATCGCATATAGTTGTTTCCATTTAATACCAACAAAAAATACTTACTTTTAAGTATATTCAACCCAAAATTATGTTTGATTCACTTAAATTTGAGAATATGTTATTTACTCAAAAGTAACTTGGGCTGAACTGTACCGTTGGGTCGAATCTCTCGATCCTTTTTTTTTTTTGACAACATTAACGAGTGAAAGTGAGAGACTCAACTTAAAATTAAGTAAAAAGAGGTCAAATACGATTGCCTAAAATTGTCGGTATATTATAGGGTATAGGTTATAGGGTATAGGTTATAGGGTATTTTTTATTATAAATTAGGACATTTTCAATGATAATTTTTGGTAATCCATCATTACCGACAATTTAGGTGTATGCACTTTCTTCGATTATCGGTAATTTTCACCGGTTTCTAGGTATTCTATACCGAGGTACGTACATCGTAGCGTGTAGTTCACTCATATAGCGAATTCGTTTATTATTCAGTTCCAACCTGGATCGGGTATCAAAATTGGGTCTGCTTGTTTTCTGACAAACGTCAGTTTGCTCGTTTGTTTTTAAAACCTAGCTCAGGTTGAGGTTCGCACTGACAAATAGTTCGGTTTCACACTGGGTTGGAACTGGTGTTAACCCCGATAATAAACGAATTCTCTAATAGAATGTGTATTTTTTTTTCTCAAATAGGAGTAAATGTCTTTCAGATATGAGTAACATTTACTCTTATTTGGGTAAATATCTACTCATTCTGCGAGTGACCTACGCTTGTGTAAATAAGTGTGCGTGGCTAAGGTATGAGTAAGATTTATTAGTCACGCTGTTTTTCTCGGAAAAGTGATGAAAACGTTACTCACTCTCTGAGTAACACTACTTTTTCAATGTTGAATCGAATTCGACCCATTTATTTAAGGATACTCATCGGCCGTGTATAACTTTTTTTCGGAATAAAAATTAAAATTGGTGGTTTGTTTTTATCGGCCGTGAAACTTGTTTAACCACAGCTTTCCAACTTCATAGTATGCTTCATATTACAATATATATCGAAAAGCGTATATCCTTGACAACAACCGTGCGTTATCAACAGAGCTTTTGTTCATCAGTCGACGAATGAAAGTTTTTGTCGACACCGTTATTAAAAGAGCTTAACTGTGTCGCTAAAAAAGTTGAAATTAGTTGAACTGGAGGATCCATCGAAGAGGAGCGTCGGTTAATTTGCGAATCAAAATTCGTTCAATTAATGTGTGTGTGGCAGGATAATTTCTCAAAATGGGATTATAGGGGAAATGGCTCTTATGTTGGCCTATGGATCAAAGATTGGGCCCATCGCTAAAAATCTGCTATTTATCAATTTTATCTAGATGAACGCGTCATTGGGACTGTACTAATGGATATTTTTTGTCGCTATTGAAAATTTAGTCGATTGTATGGGCCCAAAATAGGGACATTTAGTCCGACATTACATCCATTTCCCCTACCATCTGTTTTCTGTTTATGGTCATACGACTACGCCCATTGATTTAACACACGGCGGCTATTTATCCAGGATTCGCTCCTCAAGCCGCTGCCATAAAATACAATCTTAAGTTACAAACCTGTGCATAATCCTTATGGGCGGGGTTGCAGCGCGCTTTGACCGTCACCAAATGGGAATTTAACATAAGCGCGACAATAAGCTAAATGACAAAACACGCATTTTTATTGCCAAGAGTAAATATATGTAATATGAATTTCTAATTCTTCACAGCAAAAGCACACAGCTACAGGCGCCAAATCAAAACACACCAACTGAACTTCAGTTCTGAAAATTAAACCTGCAGCAACAGACAAACGCCTCCCAGCGTCCACTTGGCCGGTTTCTCCTTCGTCTTCAAATTGAACGTCCACACGTAAGTAGGTCCTCGAATCCTAAAAAAAAATTAACAAAATGATATTTCATTCGTGCATCACACATAACTCCTAATCACTACCTTGTCTTGTAAACGGGACACTCGTAGATGTTCTTCGTCTCCTGCTTATCCTGTGTGATGGCCTTGATGAACATGACGGGCATTTGCGGAAACAGTTCCTTCAACCGGGAGCTGGCAATCGATCCGATATTGGTATCCCACCGGGCCCCTTCCATGTAGAGACCGTTCACGTAAGCACCCTCCCTGGGCGGTGCACTGATATCCTCCTTCCACTTCTTGGTCACATCGCAACTCAGGCACATCTTGTCCAGTGGCCATTCGTTCTTCCGTGCGGTCTGCTGCATGATTGCCGTCAGGAAGCTCTGAGGATTGAAGAATCCCGCCAACCAAACCGACGCAGGCAAATTGAAGTCATTGGACCAGGCTTCCAACTCTTTGATCCGGATGGTCAAATCTGCGAACCACGACTGCAGTCCAAACATTGAAGGGTAGGCTCGTTTGGTCCAATTTTCCGGAACGTGGTCAAAGAACAGGGACGCTTCCAGCTCTTCCATATCGGATGTGATGGTCAGCTCTCCCTTGAGTCCAAGCATCAGTTCCCGGAGGGAACGCTTCATTTCCTTGACCAGAATGTTCATCCGTTCGCATTCCTGGAAGGCAACGATCACAAACGGTGTACGATCTTCGACACGGGCCATTAGATCGCCCATGTTGAACTCCTCCGGTAGTTTGTCGGTGAAGTCTTCGATGATGGTTTTTACAACGTCTTCGCGGCTTACGGTTGATCCGCTGGAGGCACCGGAGTCTCTGGGTTGCAGTTCGAAGATGGTTTTAAACAATTGTTCCGACAAGGTCGTCAGGAAGCCGATTTCCGCATTCGGGTGCAGTCCATAGAGGTAAGGCGATTCAACGGGTAGGTTGTCATCGATATAGTTATGATAGCCGGCGTAGTCGAGATTGGGAGGAGCAGGGAAACCAGTGCACAGATTGAGGTCGCCATCCACCAATTCGGGTTGCATCAGTTCTTCCAAGTAGGTTCGGCAGAGACGTCGATCCCAATCGTCAGTGATGTGACCGCCGTACATGATTTCTCCGAAGAGATAGCGGAGATCTTCCCACGGAACACGGTTGTTCGCCTCCAGGTAGTTGAAGAGTACGTAGACGCTGATCGTGAGGTCACCGACGTTGAAGGGGTAGACGCGGTTCCATCCTTGTGGACCGAACTTTCTCCTCTCGGCGACAACGGCATGGAAGTAGCAGAGGGAGAACAGAATCGCCTTGAATTCAGCTTCTTTGCCACACATCTCCAGCGTTTCCTGGTTGAAGTTGTCCAACGCCTTGTGTATGTTGGCCAACATTCCGGTTGGCGGTTCGTTGGTGATCTTGATCGCTGATTCAAGAATTCCTTGCGGGATGATGTGGTATTCCGGCGATGGCGCTGGTTCAGCACTGATGAAAAGGCGGTAGTTTTGATTGGAAGCGTCTTGAGTGGCTTCCATTTTCTTCTCCAGAGTTGGAAGCCACTTTGCCACCAGATGAATGTTCTGCAGAATCACCCAATGACCATCGCGGGAGGCATCGTCGATAGCCTTCTCGGCGACCACTTCCTGGCCTTGACCGAGTGAGACGTTGTAGAAGTTGCCGTGATCGGTTGAGTAGCGCAGCTTTTTGCCCAGCTTTTCAACGTCCTTCAGCGGATCCACTCCAGGCGATAGAATGAAGAACACCGGCGTGCATGAACTGGTTTCCTTAAAGGACTTATCAAACTCCACCATACGAGCTTCAACGTACTTCGCACCGAGTTTCTCCTCAACGAAGGCCCTCACGGCGTAGGTCATGCGATCCGGTCTCAAGCAACGCATAATGCACAATCTCTGCAAAGCGGTTTTGTTCTTCCACTCGCCAGGCATCTTCTCCCTTTCGGGACATTCCGACTCGATCAACTTTCGCCACCTCTTAGCAGATCCCTCGATATCCTTGTCCAACGATCTAAACTCATCCATGTTCGACAAAGCCTTGATACCGCCCCATCCGGCATTAGTCAAAAAGTCGAACGGCGACGTTAGGTTCGGAGTGTATGGGAACCTCAACAGGAAGTCCAACTCGGTCGGATCGATCTCCTTTGCAACCAACATAATCTGAATCGCCATCTGTGCCATAAAGATCAGCTTGTCCTTCTCGAATAATCCCCGACTGGTGTACATGTGAACGGCGAACGTGATCGAGTCTATCAGATTGAAGACCCGATCCTTCAGCTTATCAGCCGGTGGAGTAATGGCGATGGCGTCCTTGAATACGGTCGTGAAAGCCTTCAGGGAAAATTGGTAGATAGGGTTGATCTTGTGGAGGTCGTTGAGGATGAAGTATAGGATCGAGGCACGTTCTGCTGCAGGTCGGTAGCTCTCGCGAGCCACGTCGATCAGCTCGGAGGTCTTTTTGCCTTCGCTGACTTTGATCTCCACTTCGGCAGCCGTCTTCTTGGTCTTCTCCAGGTTCAGAACCAAGCTGGCGTCCTCCAGCACGTTTTCTCCAGCGGAAGACAGTCGACTCAGCAGGTCGTCTTCCAACATTTTCAAGGTGATCTTGAAGGTGTTCTGTTGCATGGTGAGATCGGCCTTCTGCTGCTCAAGATCCGGACGTTCTGCCTTGACGACTTCTGCGAGAAGTTGCTCCTCGAGCCCGTCCCGAGTGACGGTAAAGTTGATCAGCGTCGTTTGAGCTTGCATCTCCGGTTTGTAGTGAGGGTTGCCCAGTTTCGTTTGAAGAATCAGCTGGAATTTGGGATTGTAGTCGATCTCCTTTTCACCCATCCGCAAGCAGCGACCCTTCTTGACCAGCATGCGCCCGAGGAGAGGGTCCAGCACTGCGTCTACAGTTTCGCCAATGCTTTCAATTAACAGGATGCTTCCGTTGATGACGCACCGCTCGATCACATCCAGGTAGCCCCTAGCAGTCAGACGGAGAACGGTCAGATCGCTTCCGTACTTTTGTTTGATCCATTTGATGCCTTGCCTGCGGAATGAGAATGATGGCTGTTATTCACGGTGATTTGTTAGCAAGCCATAAGGGAAACTTACAGCTGAGGATCGATCATCAACGGCCAGCGCGAGGAATACGTTAGAATCGCAGCATTCTCCGCAGACATGCGATCGGATGGGAGTCCTTCGTTGTTCCAGGAAGCAATGACGGCGTCATCGACGATCAAGTTCAGCGGATCGACACCTTCCGTGAACGGTATGGCCGGCTGTTACGGAACATCGACCATTACTTTTAGTTCTTGGAAATGCAATCATTCTGCTTACCTTGGACAGCCGGAAGGTTGGTATCCACATCTTCTCCTGCAGCTCGACTCGGTACCGCCTGGTGAAACAACCGACGTAGCTGATAAAGCAAGCAATCAATAGCACGTCGCCGGGCAGAGTCACGGTTTGGCTCTTCAGCTGAGCTATCGATTCCCGCCAGCGCACATTCTCCGACGCCAGTCCATTCACCAGACGGTGTGCGAGGTCGATCGTGAAGGCCGTCTTGTCCGCCTCGTCCTGGCACTTTTGCTTCTCCGCCAGGGCATCGTTGAATTCGGCCTGAATTACTCCGAGCTGCTCCTCCAGTTCGTTGATCTTCAGTGTCAGCTCCAACATTTTCAACTCAGCGGCATGCAGCTCGGCTTGGGCTTCGTCCAAGGCCCGCTGTTTAGGTTCCACCACCTGATAGACCTGGTAGTATTTGTGGATGTTGATGACCCAAGCACACAGTCCGGCTGCGGCAGCCGATTTGGAACGAATCTTCTCCGGATCAAAGTCTGAGTCCTAGAAATGCACAACTTCAAGATTTCACTTCTCTAAGACATGATCACAACCAACCTACCTTAAGGTACTCCTGCAATGCTTTAATCACATCCGGTTGAATGTTGTTCTTGTCATAGTACATGAGGTCGGCCATGAACACGTCGACTTTATTCATCATCATTTTGCAGGCCTTCCAGCTGCGGTCTTTGGGAATTTTTCCCTTCGATGAGAACAAAACTAGCACCGCTGCGCAAACCTTCACTACCTGTTCCGGCGGGGAGCCGAAGGACTTCAGTTCCGTTAGGTTGTTCTTGTCCAAAGTAGCCAGAGCCTCTTGAGCGGCAATGAGTGCCGGTTCGGCCTTTCTCAAATCTTCCTGGCAGATCGTAGTCTTAACGCTGACATCTTCTTGAATAATTCGGACTTTCTTTTCCTCTTCAGCGGCAATGTTTTTCTCCTTTTGAACCATCTCGTTCTCCGCACTGACTCTCTTAATCAGCTTATCGGCTTCCTGGTTCTTCTTCTTCAACACCACTTCCTGTTCGGCCAGTTGGACCTGAAGCGAATCCACCTGCTCTGCGCATTCTGCCAGCTTCAAGATACCACTCTCGAGACGGTGAACTCTTTCGTTCAACTCCGTGTGCTTCTCCTTCAAGAACTTGGAATACAGCGCAATCAACTCCAGGAACGATTTCGGTGTGGTATAGTTGTAGCGTCGCTCGTTCTGCAGGTAAATCTGCGACATCTCGTTGACAGTTCCGTGGACATACGCCAAGAACACCGCAACCGGTTCCACCAGGTCGCGCTGAAACGAAATCGGACATCAAAATAAGATCGTGGAATTAATTGAAAGCTATCTTACCGGCATGACATCAACATCCGATAGGAACCTATTGGACACCGACTCCAGTGCCGACTTGGGCCACTCATGGAACCAATTGATCGCAGTGCAGTTGACCAACGCCGGGAACTTCCTTGCTCGGACTCTCAGTGTTGATCCAACCGGCGAGAAGCACAGCACGATCTTCAACGACTTCCGAACCTTCTCGATGAAGTACTTCCAGCAGTTGTCCTTCGAATCCAGCATCCCTAGCTGTTTAACCTCATTCCGCAGGGCATTGACAATGTTATCGATATCGTCCTCTGGGAATAGGTCCGGAATCTCCCCGGACGCCAGCAGATCGTTGATCAACACCAAAAACGACTCTTCCGCAACCTGGGCATCGGTCATCAGGAACATACAGGGGACGTTCTTAACCCCGGCCTTTATGTACTGCACAGCCAGGTCTGCTTTGAGATCCGGAATGCCATATCCTTTTCTCAGTTGAATCTGCGACACTTCCAAGCCGGAAATGAACGCCGCCAATCGTGACAGCGACTGCTTTCCCGATCCTCCAACTCCAATCAGCAGTGCATTTCCCCTCGGTCCCTCCAGGATCCGACTGATTCTGCAAACATGGCTCATGGCATCCTCGAACAGCACCAAATTCATCGCTCCGATCATATCGTTGTAGTTTCCCTGTGCTTCCTCCAGGGTCTTGTTCAAACTCTCCCAACTGGCCACGGGCATGTACTTGGGATCAACCAACCCCTCCGCAAAGTGACAGTAGATGATGGGCAGCGCAAACACCTTGCTCTCGTCAAACTCCTCGAATGACTTCTTCACCACATCGGATCGAACCTTCCGGAACGTTTCGATATCCCGATCATCTACCAGCTTATCGCTGTAGACCCGGGTAGCCTCGTGAACCCACAATCGAATCAAGTAGTTTGGCTCAGGACACGTCTCTCCGTTGGCAAACAGCATCCCCTGAAAGATGTTGGCCAGATCACGCAGATTGAACACGTAGTGGAACTTAACTGCCGTTGGCAGGAAGGTCTGTCCCATGCGAAGGTGTAGAATCAGCGCGCAGGACACCAGGGCGGCGCAAATCTTCTGCGTTTGTATGGTGAATTTGTTCAATGGATTTGCCAGGTGCTGCGAGAGGATCGAATAGTAGATGTGATAGAGAGGATCGCCCGCAGGGAAGCTGACGGCAAAGACGCAAAAGTGTCGCTGAAGACGGGGGTCAATGGTGAACGATCCGGCAGTTGGATTCATGCAGGAGACGAACTGACAGTTGTGGATTTCCTTGAGGCTTAGCTTGGTGCGATCGTACCAATGCCGGTAGTCCATGAACTGTCGAATCAGGGTGTGCGGTTGGACCGTGCCGTACGTGTCCACTTCCGGCATGTTCATGTCATCCACGAAGTAGACCATGGTTTTGTTTCCCGGAGGACCGTAATTACGACCGGCTTTCTTCTCCAGTGGCCTTTCCAGAACGCGCTGAAGCATCTCCGAAGTGGTGTAGAAGTTGAAGGGTACATTAGTGACGGCGTATTTGTAGGAAAGATTGTTCAGCTTGTCCGCTACGATTACGCTCTTACCGGAACCGGCTCCACCGATCAGCATGACGGGGTGCTTTGCCTCAATTAAGATGTCCATGAACCAGCGTAGTCTGGTGGTCTCAGCGGTTGGAACCAAGGTCGATTGTAACGGGATGTCTGTGTCCAGTTCGAAGTTCGGGACAAGATCCGTCCATGGATTGAACTTCTTCGTCTCCGGATCGATGTAGTAGTTGAAGATCGTACCACCCGGCGGGAATCGAATGACTTTGAACTCGTTGATCCACCACTTGTGGAACTCGTTACGCCAATCAATCAGCTGGTCTTGGTATAGCGAAGATCCGAAACCCCAGATGACGGCGAAGACGTAGTAGATTTCGTACCATTCCTTGGGACTGTCCGGAGGAATGTTCTGGGGGGTGAGCAAGCAGTCCAGCAGATGGCAGGTCATCTGGATCATGGCGATTTCGGAGATGGGAGTGATCTTCTTGAACCGCTTCTGCGCATCGATCAACGGTGGGATGTACTTGTCGAATAGAACCGATAGGATGCACTTCTCGGCTTGCGTTTCACGGGAATCGATCCAGGAGGCAACGAAGCTGAAAATTTTCGATATTAGATGAGTCGCGTCTTTGATGTATTGATGGTACGATACTTACGGATTCCATCCAAGATCCTGTGGGTTGATGTAGAGAATTCCGGCCCGGGACACCGTGGCAGGAGTCGCCGTTCTCAGGTTCGAGATCTCAAACAACAGCCGCATCTCTTTGGTCAGTGCAATACGCTCATTGCTAGCCAACGTCAGCACCTTGTTATCGTCCATGACGGTATTCAAGCTTTCGATCCACATAGGATCGATGTCGCCATCCAGGACGATCCACTTCGGTCCGGTGCCACCCATATTGGCCTGATCTCGCATGATCACCGAGAATAGGCCATCTTTCCACTCACGCGTCGCCGGGTTGATGATCCCAAAGAGTTCATCATTCGTGACGGCCTTCGGATCCAGATCATTGTAATGCGGCTTCCTCCTTTGGTTCTGATAGGTCTTGAACAGAGTCTTCCAAACTTGACTCTTGCCAGTGCCGGCAAACCCTACGATGAACACCGAATGGCGCACGGCAAACAGTTCTTCCAGCTGGACGACCTTCAGAATGAAATTGTCCTCGGGTTGAAGCTTCAATTCCAATGTCGATTTGCGAATCAATCGTTCGAATTCTGGTGATCGTTTCCGGGGAACATCCAGCGCTGGGAACAGATCTCCAATCAATCCCATGAAGACCGGCACGTCATCCGTCACAATTTTGGGAATGTTGAAGTCTCGCAGAGCTCGCATCAGCACCTGATCTTCCGGGCGTTCTCGATCACCTCTCTGTGGATTAGGAAAGGTTAAGAGCCTATAATTGATTGAAAATGCAACAACACAATACCTTCAACGCTCCGGCCACCACCAGTACCGACTTGATCGCTCTCAGTCCCCAATCGTAGTGATCCTGCTTCGACAGCAGCTCCTTGCACAGCGTGTACAGCGTGATGAACTTCCTGGCCAGCAGTCGGGCCTCTTGGAATCCCTCCGCCACCAGCATGATTTCGCAAATCAGTTCAAAATCCGGCACCACCATGGCACACGGACGGAAGAGGGCCTTCAGGTTCTCCGGCAGCTCCGTTCGGCCCGCGTAGCCCGGATTCATCGTGATGAAAATGCCCACCGTTGGGATGAGGGAGATGATTTCGCCCATAAAATTGAATTTCTCCTTCTTGCCCTATTTGTATGCAAATTTAATTACTGCTCTCGGCTTTCGATCTTATGCTTTGCGTGTGGTGGGGGGGGGTGTTGGGGTCGCAAAACAAAAAACAACAGATATGGTATAGGCACACAGTTAGTCGGTGCCATGAATGGGATGAACGTGTAAATGGGCCGGCAAAAAATGATGGACAATCAATGTGTGTTTGGTGCTGCGGTGTGCTCCGTACGGTGATTGGCCGCTAACCGAACCAGAGAGGAAAGGCACTAACAGAGGCCGTTGTTGTTCGTTGTTCAGTGGCCGATGACATTCGAGGTTAAGAAAGCGGTTGCATACAGGCAGGCCATAAAAAGCGATTGAATGGGATGGTATGATGAGGGCTTGTAAATTCGGGGGACGCGGTGGCGTTGGAAAAGGTTTGCTTTGGCTGGGGATGTCGGGGAATTTTTCATCAACAAATTATAGAAATGCTGCAGAAAATGGGGTTTGCAGTTATTCTGTCAATCTTTCCATTAATTTAGTTTTGTAGGAAATGTTTCAAGTCAGTTCTCGTCTTTTTAATAGAAAGCAGATAGCCAAATAGTTTTCTATCAGAGCAATTGTGCCCATCAACAGAGTCCAGGGGAAATTTCCTTTCGCTTGGATAAACCAATTCGCCTTCAACTCGTACATCAGGGTGACCAGTTATCCGGGAAAAAAGCCAGGAATTTCGATGGTAAATTGGCAAAAAATATAAAGGGTGTCCCATATCAAATTGCATCACGGAACAAACGCTGTAGAAAATTACCCAGTGGGTATTTTCTCTTGAAAATTTGGGTATAAATAGTTTAGAGTGTATTGTTTACAATGTATTATTATCGCTCAGTTTTTCGAAAATTGGAAAAATTGTCATCACCCGAAAAGCAACGTCGCGAATTGAATTTGCGCAAGCACCTGGAAAATCCTATACTCTCTCATCGGGACATCGAAAAACAACTCGGAATCGTGCAGTCAACGGTGTGTCGTGTGACTAAATGTTACTACGAAGCTCTGAGCATCGAACGGAAGGAGAAATGCGCTCAGAATGGATGTTCTATTAGTAAGCGTTTAAGCCGAAGCCCAATGCTTCGGTCAGGGATCTGACCAAAAACTTGAATCTGTCCTAATCTTTAGTTCAGAGAGCCAAGGACCGGGAGGGACTACATACGTACAAAGTGCAGAAGGCTCCAAATCGTGACGAACGGCAAAATACGGCGGAAAAGTCACGGGCTCGGAAACTGTACACCCAGATGCTGACGAAGCCTCATTGTCTCATCATGGATGATGAGACTTACGTCAAGGCGGACTTCCGGCAGCTTCCGGGGCTGCTGTTCTTCAGCGCCCAGCACAAGTTTGATGTTACGGAGGAAGTAAGCAAGCAGAAACCTTCAAAGTTTGCCAAGTAATACATTATTTGGCAAGCGATCTGCTCATGTGGCAAACGGAGTGCGCCATTCGTGACTACCGGGACTGTAAACGGGGAGATCTACCTCAAGGAGTGTCTACAGAAGCGTCTGCTTCCTGTGTTGAAGCAACACGAGGGCCCTACGATCTTCTGGCCGGATCTAGCTTCGTGCCACTATTCAAATGTTGTCCTGGAGTGGTACGAAGCCAACGGTGTCACCAAAGATGAATACTAAGATGAAACTGTCGGAAGAAAAACTTTTTATTTTAGTGTCTTCTTTCACGGTCCCTTTCATCCAATGAGAACCCCCCGTATTCAAGGTAATTTTGTGGTTTTGCTGCCCCCTCGGAAGAGATGCAATTTTGCGCTCATTTTTATCAAAACAATCACACCAAAATCAGAGGTGTCCCATTTTTTAATTACTCGATTAACAACTAATCGATTATTTTTTGTTCGCTGTGCTGCAATTTTTCCACCAATGAGAGTGCAGCACATGTTTGAAACGATCGGTGATGATCCTCTGGAGATGTTAATGCTTATATCGGCATGATCTAACCGACTATGAATAGTTTACTTTTCGGTTCGTTAATCGATTAATCGATTATTCGAATGAAAATCGGACATCACTAGATGAATGTGAAACGTCATTTCAAATATAAGGCCGTTCATAAATAATGATACAATTTGAAAGGGACCGGGGCTTATCACAAATTACGTCTCCATGGTAACTGAAATAAACACGAGTGTTCACCGGTTGGTGTCACTTTCGTACCCAAGGACATGAACCCACCCAACGAACGGGAACTAAGGTACATCGAAAATACTGGGCTATTATGAAGCAGGGACTACGGAAGCATCCCAAACAGGTCAAATCAGAGGAAGACATGAAGAAAAAGTGGGTTTCCGTACAGAAGAAGATGTTGTACAGAACCTAATGAGTGTAGTTAAAAGTGAGGTGCGAGCGTACGGTTATGGTATTGAAGTTGAATGAAATAAATATGCCAAAAGCTTACTAATGGGTTATATTTTATAGTCTGAAAGTTTGAAAAGGATCGGTCAACTACGTTATTTTCTACAGCGTTTTTTCCGTGATGCAATTTTATTTGAGACACCCTTTAATTCGTCCACTCTTCGAGAAAAAGACCCTTGGACTGAACTACACACCAAAAAATTCTGAACTTTACTGGCGATGTAAACATCCATGCATGCAAACATTCATACATGTAAACTTCCTTTTCACGTAAATTAGCAACTTGCAAGAAATGTTGCAAACAAAAGTGGACAGTTGCATACAATATATGGGATATTGCATGACATGTCTCATAAATTTACACGATCTATAACCTAAATTTGTATGATATATGACGCTCCATTTATGTGCATCATAGTAACGGAAATTTACACTACTTTTTTTTAGCTGTGTAGATTTTCATGATACAGTCACTTTGAAGAGCTATCACAGGGCTGGCTGTCACTTTTTAGTGGCTATGTCACTATTTTCAAGTCAGTCACTAGTGTAGGACAGAGACGTAGAACACGCATAGACTGAAGCAAGAAGAACCACACGAACCGTCAAACGCTGAACCAAACGAGCAAGGGAGTGATAACATAACCGGTGCGGCCAACGATGCTGCACAACTATTGATGAAAGACGGTAGAATACGATCCGGACCTGGGCCTTTCGATGTATCCACCGAGCAAAGGACTTTGAAAATAACGGCTGAAGTTAAGCTGCTGCGGAGGAGTTTGATCGAGTTCGAAAACGCTTCGGAAGAAATCAACGAAAAGGTTTGCAGAAGTGGCATCGGTGGAGGAGCTTCGATTACAGTAGGTGACGTCTACCGGAATACCAGCTGATCTTTTGCGGGACCAGAACGACGATGGGTTTTCTTTGAAGCCACTCTGGAGGTTATTGATATACTCACGAAAGCGAACTTCATGCAAACTGTTGTATTCGACTTCTGCAAGCTGCACACCACACTTGTTTTCAGCAGCCCAGGAGCAAAAAACTCGTTTACGGGCCTTACACAGATTACGCAATTGTGGATTCCACCACGGTTGTTGGAAATGCATAGGATGGGTCATCATGATCATTTTTTCAGAACAATGTTTTTTTGGTTCCATTTGGGGTCCCAAACAACTGTGCAAAATTTGGGAACGATTGGTTGTAGCCCGGCTTTCCGCGTTGCATTTGAAATTTGTATGGAAATTAGTATGGGAAACCCTACTTTTTTGCTTTTTTATTACTAGGGACCACAATTTTGCACAAACCTAAATACGTTAAAGTATAGCCCAGGAAGTGCCTAACAACTTTGCTCAAAAATGTATTGTGCTAGAATGCCCCTAAAAAAAAGTTATTGCTGTTAAGAGATCAATGTTTCGAATTAAATGCCAAAAATCCCTTCTTCCAACACTGCCGGTGTACCAATGAAAGTCAGACTCCAATCTGAAATAATTTCAAAGTTGATTATTTTATCAGTTTAGTATGTTCAGATGAAATATTCAAAAACAATAGATCTATCTATTTCCCATCTCTCGAGTTGTTCGGATGGGTTATTCAAAAACATTTGCTTCAACTCTTAAGAGCAGTTGTAAAGCGAGTACTACCATTCTCTTCCCTACTCTTTTGGTGCAATATACAATGTCAGATATATTCACACAAATGTCATTGAATTGTAATGATTATATTTCATTTTAATATGTTCTACGATTTATCAGAATACTCTTTCCGATGCTGTTCTATAAGCAAATATTGCTGTTGAACTAGGTCTAGGGTGGGTTTCTTGATAAGTCAGAAATTAGCTTCACTCCTCATTCAGCCATATCGTTGACAATCATCAAGGAAGCAACTCGTTGTATCGCATTGAAATAATCTGTATCATTACTCCACTCGTTTGCCGGTTTTTGCATGAAGCCGGTCTAAATTTCGAAAAGGAATCAGCACTGTTAGAAGTGACGTTTGGCTTGGGATCCCAACTGAAAATAAGCCGACTTAACGTTTGCCCAACAAGTGAAATTCGACTGTACCTGTGTCTGAGACGAAACTGGTGAAGACAGTTTTCGTTTTCTCTTGTTTTTGGTTCTTCACGTACGAGTACTTCTGTGTTTTGTAAATGTGTATCAGTGTACCAAATAGGCAAGATAAGAAACTCTGATATTATTTCAGTTTGGAATCTGATTTCTATTGGTACACCGGCAGTGTTGGCAGAAAAAGGGATGTTTGGTGTTTGATTCAAACCATAAATATTTGATTAGCTATAACTTTTTTTTAGATACATTCTAGCACCGTACTTTCTTTGGTAAAGTTGTTAGGCACTTCCTGGACTATATTTGTACATACTTAGTTGCACGTTTCATGCGGTGGTGGTCTCTATGGATAAACATGCAAAAAAGTTGGTTTTCCCATACTAATTTCCATACGAATTTCAAACGCAATGCGGAAAGCCGAGTTACAACCAATCGTCTCCAAATTTTGCACAGTTGTTTGGGACTCCAAATGGAACCAAAAAAGGGTTGTTCTCGATTGGTGGCTGCACATGCGAAAAAGGTAACTCACTTCTCTGAGCTTGACTCAGTCTAACAATGTATTTGTTAT